TCACATTGACATCTACATGGAATACACATTGACATCTACATGGGCATCAGGAAATCAATAATTTTCAGGTTGAGGGTTAGGGTTAGGGTTGTGTTGGATGTGTTGCAATAGCAGATTCTCAGATTAGTTTAGTGTTTACACCTTATTTTATTTTTCTGGTTATTTAATATTTAATGTTTATTTTACTTAAGTGATATTTGTCTTTACTGTTCTCATGTAGCACAAATCCTATGTAACATCATACTATGTATTTTGATATTAATATTGAAATCTGAAATATATACAGAAACTCTTCCAACTCTATGTATATGTGATTCTATAAAAGCAGGTAAACCCTACTTTGTGCCAAATTAATTAGACACCCCATTAGACCTGGGCCTTCCTGAAAGGCCCAGGTCAAATAGGGTACTGGGTCAGTGGGGACTAACTTTTGCATAGTCTTGGGACTACCCAAGGATCAGTCCCCAAAGCCCTCTTGCTTTTTCAGGTTCTGTGAGCTCTGAAAACCAAGAGGGCACCCACCCCCTCCACCAACCCCTACTCAAACCAGTCTTAAAATTGTAAAAAACTTACCCGGCTGCCATTATGCAGCTCTGGTAGTTCTCCTGACATGTAGAAATGACATGCCAGGAGCCACTCTAAACACCTTCGCAGAAGCATACAAGAAGCTCGGCCTGTCATTGAACATCGAGAAACCCAAGGTGCTTTTCCAGCAGTCATCAGCCAATCCCTCTCCAATGCCAGAATTACAGCTTAATGGTGTAATATTAGAAAATGTTGACCATTTCCGCTATCTTGGCAGCCAACTCTCCACAAAAATCAACATTGAAATACAACACTGCCTGAGCTCTGCGGGTGCAGCATTTTTCCAAATGAAGCACAGAGTGTTTGAGAACCGGGACATCCGTAGGGAGACCAAGGTGCTTGTTTATAAAGCTATTGTCCTCCCAACCCTGTTACACGCCTGCGGGACGTGGACTGTCTACAGACATCACATGCAACTCCTAGAATGATTCCATCATCGTTCCCTCCGAAAAATCCTGCAACTCTCTTGGGAAAACAGGCAGACAAATGTCAGTGTGCTGGAAGAAGCAAAGACCACTAGTATTGAAGGGATGGTCCTCCGCCATCAATTCCATTGGATCGGCCACATTTGTTTGGGTGCCTGACCACCGTCTCCCAAAGCAGTTGCTCTACTCCGAACTCAAGAATGGAAAACGGAATGTCGGTGGGCAGGAAAAGAGATTTAAAGATGGGCTCAAACCCAACCTTAAAAACTCTGGCATAGACATTGAGAACTGGGAAGCCTTGTCCCTTGAGCACTCCAGCTGGAGGTCAGCTGTGACCAGCAGTGCCAATTTGAAGAGGCACGAATAGAGGGTGAAAGAGAGAAATGTGCCAAGAAGAAGGTGCGTCAAGCCAACCTCAACCAGGACCGCTTTCCACCTGGAAACCAATGCCCTCACTGCGGGAGAACATGCAGATCAAGAATAGGGCTCCACAGTCACCTATGGACCCACCGCCATTACACCGATCCAGGAGGACAATCCTACTTGGACAACGAGTAATCACCTAAGTAAGTAAGTATGCAGCTCTGGTAGTTCTCCTGGCATGTAGAAATGATGTGCCAGGAGGCAGTGGGGGCGGAGGGGGGATGAGGAGCAAAATCACTCCTGCTCCTTCCCCATGCCACCGCCGCCCCCTGGCTCTTCACTTCTAAACACAAGGAGGACTACTTGACAGCGTAGTAGTGGCCCAGTAAGTTTTTTTTTGGGGGGGGGGGGGGAAGGGTTGAGGGTTTGGGTGTTTCCCCACTGGAAAAGCCTGGTTTTCTTTGAGGAGTGTGTGGTAAGAAATGTGCGCCAAAGCGGGTTTTAACAACCTGCTTTGGCTCGCATTACTGTGAAGGAAGTGCCCTTACACACTGTGGAGGTTGGGAGATACAGTGCAGCTGCTCTCAACCTCGGCATGTGGACTTTCCCGACTATGTCAGTAGCATGTTATGTCATGCTTGTGGGTGTGTGGCTTTGTTATTGCATCAGTGGCCTGATCCACTGTATTTTTGTTCTCACCATCTCTTTTTGTACTATTTACACCATTATCAGAAAAGCTTCCAATGCCAGTTCCTCCTACAAGACCAGCGCCAAGTACTCCTGAAAGGCCAATGCCAGGTCCTCCTACAACAACAATGCCACGTACACCAAGGCCAAGTCCATCTCCAGGATCAGGCCAGGACCAATCTGTTGGTAAGACTTTGAGGAAAAACCATCAAAATGAGACTGACAGATTGTTGTGATACTTTGTACTTTTTATTTTTTGGGTATGTTGTTGTGCAATGAACATACAGATAGAAGGTAATATTGAAGAACAAAGCTAATGTGAGGGGTTGGGGTTATCGGGCATCTTCTATCCTGATTTAGGTTTTGGCAGCCCCCCAGGCCACTGTTAGGTAGGATAGACAGAGTAGGAAATCCATCAGAAGTGTAGCATCTCATCTCAGTTTGGGGTCCTGGAGCTGCCATTCAACAAAGAGAGCTTCTTCGTCTTCAGAAGTTGGTCAGGATACCTTCTGAGACACCAACCTAGATAGGCAGCTTGTTGTTGTTCATTCGTTTAGTCGCTTCCGACTCTTTGTGACTTCATGGACCAGCCCATGCCAGAGCTCCCTGTTGGCCATCACCACCCCCAGCTCCTTCAAGATCAAGCCAGTCACTTCAAGGATACCATCCATCCATCTTGCCCTTGGTCGGCCCCTCTTCCTTTTTCCTTCCACTTCCCCCAGCACAATTGTCTTCTCTAAACTTTCCTTTCTTCTCATGATATGGCCAAAGTACTTCATCTTTGCCTCTACTATCCTTCCCTCCAATGAGCAGTCGGGCTGTATTTCCTGAATTATGGACTGGTTGGATCTTCTCGCAGTCCATAGCACTCTCAGATCTTTCCTCCAACCCCACAGTTCAGAAGCATAGATCTTCCTTCGCTCAGCCTTCCTTATGGTCCATCTCTCACATCTGTAGATGACTATGGGGAATACCATTGCTTTGGCTATGTGGATCTTCATTGCCAGTGTGATGTCTCTACTCTTCACTATTTTATCGAGATTGGACATTGCTCTCCTCCCAAGAAGTAAACGTTTTCTGATTTCCTGGCTGCAGTCTGCATCTGCAGTAATCTTTGCACCTAGAAATACAAAGTCTGTCATGGCCTCCACATTTTTTCATTCTATTTGCCAGTTATCAATCAGTCCGGTTGCCAGAATCTTGGCTTTTTTGATGTTTAGCTGTAACCCAGCTTTTGCGCTCTCTTCTTTCACCTTGATTAGAAGGCACCTCAGCTCCTCCTCGCTTTCAGCCATCAAAGTGGTGTCATCTACATATCTAAGGCTGTTAATATCTCTTCCAGCAATTTTCACCCCGGCCTTGCATTTGTCAAGCCCCGCACATCGCATGACTGCAGCCAGGAAATCAGGAGATGCTTACTTCTTGGGAGGAGAGCAATGTCCAATCTCGATAAAATAGTGAAGAGTAGAGATACCACACTGGCAACAAAGATCCACATAGTCAGAGCAATGGTATTCCCCGTAGTCACCTACGGATGTGAGAGCTGGACCTTAGGGAAGGCTGAGCGAAGGAAGAGAGATGCTTTTGAACTGTGGTGTTGGAGGAAAGTTCTGAGAGTGCCTTGGAATACGAGAAGATCCAGCCAGTCCATACTTCAGGAAATAAAGCCCGATGTGAAGAACCCTTACCTTAGTTACAGCCAGGATGCAGGGCCAGGAAAAGCCTGTAAGCCTAGAAAGATAGAGAATGGGCAAGGCGAAGCATCAGCAGCCATTTTGGAGAAGGGAGACGCCATCTTGAGTGTAGTTCAGAGCAGGGGGCGTGTCTTAGGCATTAGATGGCAGGGAATGGCTGGGATTGGTGTAGAGAAAGGGGGCGGAGTTTAGGAGAAGCTGAGAGGAAAAGAGGAGCGTTTTAAAATCCTGAGGGGAGAGTTGGAGTTGGGAGTTAGGGAGAGAGAGCAGTTGTAGATTTGGAAAGCAGTGAAGAAGTCTAACTTAGAAATAGATTCAGTTAGTTACTTCAGAAGAAGGATTGTTTCTAGACAGACCCTTTGTAGTGGGCTGTTTGTAGGGAAGAATCTAATTTAGGAGAAGATATAAATTCTCAGTTTGAAAGTTATGACTGGAACTTAATTCAATCACTGTATGATTTCTAACTAAACCAATAAGCATTCTGTACCTGAAGATTTTCAAGATTGTTTAATAAACGTTTCATTCTATTTTCACACTACCACAGACTGTGTGAATACTTTAGATAAGCATTTAATCTCTCTGAAAAACAAACTGCATTGTAACACAAAAGGTTGTGTTATTAGGTTTCCTCAGTTCTAAAGGTAGAAAAGCATCAACCAAGCAGAAGAAACAGTTTCAACAATTCTCAGTCATCAGTAATTATATAGCCATAACTTACTCAGTTTATGTTTCTCCCTATTAGACCTAAGAAGAGTTCTTTCCTGAGTAAAAAGAGCCTAATAATCCGGTTTAGCCCTTAACAATTGGTGGCCGCTCTACACATTGGTGTCTATCAATTGAACGGTGATCGTTACATATTGATTTGCAGCATTTTGTATTTGGTCTGTGAATCTCTATAACTTGATTAGGCAGCTGGTGAAATCCATTATTGATCCAGAATATAATATTGGTGGCAGCTTGAGTGATTGGCCAAAACCATATAGTTAAACGGTCATTTGATCTATTGGTCCTTTATAATTTGGTGTCAGAGATTGAGATTGATTTGCCGTTCTTTATACCCGACTGCTCATTGGAGGGAAGGATAGTAGAGGCAAAGATGAAGTATTTTGGGCACATAATGAGAAAACAGGAAAGCTTAGAGAAGGCAATGATGCTGGGGAAATTGGAAGGAAAAAGGAAGAAGGGCCGATCAAGGGCAAGATGGATGGATGGCATCCTTGAAGTGACTTGATTGACCTTGAAGAAGCTGGGGGTGGTGGCAGCTGACAGGGAGCTCTGGTGTAGGCTGGTCCATGAGGTCACAAAGAGTCGGAAATGACTGAACAAATGAACAACAACATTGGCAATATGGTCTCTTGTTCCTCTGCCTTTTCTAAACCCAGCTTGTACATCTGGCAACTCTCTCTCCATGTATTGCTGGACAGGCAGATATTTGCTACAAATTATTCAATGTCACCTTGTTGAATAAAAACATTACCAAATTGCATTGGTTATATCACTATTGCCCCAAATTTAACTTTAATGGCTGCATCCCATGAAATTTGGGAGTTTATAGTTTAGCAAGGTCCAAGAATTCTCTGGGTGAGACTTCTAAATGCCTTTCCCTCAACTGCTAATCTCAGGATTCCATAGCATGTTGCCCTGGAAGTTCAGGCAGTGCAATAGCAATGCAGTGTCTTAAGGAGTGAACTTTATGAATCTCAGAAGGCAACTTATGCTTCAATGGATTGGTTAGAAACATTTGTTAAGAAAGAGAGATGAAAGTTCCCCTCCCAACCACCCCAGAAACTTTCTGCATGAGGGACATCTGTAGAGTGCTTGCATGTCCAAAACTGGGATTATTTATTACTAGCTGTACCCGTCACACATTGCTGTGGCCAACCTTCCCTCCCTTTTTCTCTCCTTCTTCCCTCCCTCTTTCCTTCCTTCCTCCCCTTTTCTTCTTTCCTTCTCTCCTTCCTTCCTTCTCTACCTCTGTTCTTCCTCTCTTTTCCTTTTTCTTCCCTTTCATAGAATCAAAGAGTTGGAAGAGACCTCATGGGCCATCCATTCCAATCCCCTGCTAAGAAACAGGAAAATTGCATTCAAAGCACCCCCTGACAGATGGCCATCCAGCCTCTGTTTAAAAGCTTCCAAAGAAGGAGCCTCCACCACACTCCGGGGCAGAGAGTTCCACTGCTGAACGGCTCTCACAGTCAGGAAGTTCTTCCTCATGTTCAGATGGAAATCTCCTCTCTTGTAGTTTGAAGCCATTGTTCCGCGTCCTAGTCTCCAGGGAAGCAGAAAACAAGCTTGCTTCCCTCCTCCCTGTGGCTTCCTCTCACATATTTATACATGGCTATCATATCCCCTCTCAGCCTTCTCTTCTTCAGGCTAAACATGCCCAGCTCCTTAAGCCGCTCCTCATAGGGCTTGTTCTCCAGACCTTTTATCATTTTAGTCGCTCTCCTCTGACACATTCCAGCTTGTCAATATCTCTCTTGAATTGTGGTGCCCAGAATTGGACACAATATTCCAGTGTGGTCTAACCAAAACAGAATAGAGGGGTAGCATGACTTCCCTAGATCTAGACACTATGCTCCTTTTGATGCAGGCCAAAATCCCATTGGCTTCAGATGATCCTTTCTTCACTTTTTGTTTCCATACTTCCTTCTGTCTTTCCTTCCCTCCCTCTTTTTCTCCTTTCTTCCTTCTCTACCCCTTTCCTTCCTTCCTTCCTCTCTTTCCTTCCTTCCCTTTTTTCCTTTCCTTCTCTCCTTCCTTCCTTCTCTACCCCTTTCTTTCCTTCCCCTTTTTCTTTTCCTTCTTTCTCTTTCCTTCTCTGCCTCTTTCCTTCCTTCCTTTGCTTTTTGCTTCCATCCTTCCTTCTGTCTTCCCTTCCCTTCCTCTTTCTATCTTTCTTCCTCTTCTTCCTTCACTCCCTCTTTCCTTCCTTTCCTTTTTTCTTTCCTTCTCTCCTTCCTTCTTTCTCTACCCATTTCTTTCATCCCTCTTCTTTTCCTCTTTCTCTCCTTTCTTCCTTCTCTACCTCCTTCCTTCCTTCCTTCCTTCCTTCCTTCCTTCCTTCCTTCCTTCCTTCCTTCCTTCCCTTCCTTCCTTCCTTCCTTCCTTCCTTCCTTCCTTCCTTCCTTCCTTCTCTCCTTCCTTCTCTCCCTTCCTTCCCTCCCTCTTCCTTCCCTTTTTTCCTGTATCGTCATTTAGCTTTTCGTCATTTAGCTTTTTGGGGTTTTTAAGTCCTTTCCACTGTTGGGGGGGGGGGTTATGAGTGATGGTCACTTGTTGGTCTGTTAGGGGTGTAGTGTCCAAATTTGGTGTCATTTCATCCAATAGTTTTTGAGTTATGTTAATCCCACAAATGAACATTACATTTTAATTTATATAGATGGTCACTCGTTGGCCTGAGAGGTGTCTTGTGTCCTAATTTGGTGTCAATTCGCCGCCCAGTGGTTTTTGAGTTTTGTTAATCCCACAAACGGACATGACATTTTTATTTATATAGATTCTGTTGTAATTTTTACCTATTCTTGTCTCCTGAAGCCCGGCTAACAGTATGCAGCCTCCCTCCAGCCAAAGGACCTTGCCCCAACCGTTTGACCCGTTATTACTATAACCATAATCGCAAACAATGTGAATCATTTATTTATGGTGGCTGCCTGGGCAACGGAAATAAATTTCCAACACCTGGTAACTGCGAAAAAAGGTGCAAAGTATCAAAAGGTAAGCAGTTTTCGCACGCTAATGCTGAGTTTGTAGCTGTTGAACAGAAACAATTAGCCACAAAGTGCTATAATTTTGTATAGTGAAAAAAGAGACAGGGAGAGATGCAGTATGCTTGCTGCTTAGCTTCCAAGACCTCTATACATATTTCCACACCATCTGGATCTATTTGGTGAACTTTCCCCCTGCCATTCCCATAAAGAGAGTGTTGAATATTGTTTAGTTGAATACCTAGGCTAAGGCAGTCTATGGATCTCATTAGATGCAATCTTCTTTGCTTCTGTGTATTGCCGAAGGCTTTCATGGCTGGAATCACTAGGTTCTTGTAGGTTTTTTTGAGCTATATGGCCATGTTCTAGAGGCATTTCTCCTGACGTTTCGCCTGCATCTATGGCAAGCATCTTCAGAGGTAGTGTTGGGGTTCAGTCTGATCCTGATCTGTGTGAACAGGATTCTCTGATAGTTTTTCAAACTGAGCAAGCTCTCCCTGACTATGACAGTGTGGAATCTGTTGTTGATGCAGAGGTCAGTGGGAATGAAAATGAAACCCAGCAGTTAGAAGAGAATGTTTTGGAAGTTAGCCGTGATATCTCCCCACCTGGGCTTGATAATGAGGTCCGAAGAGAACAGATAGTGAGAGATAGATCTGTTTCCCAGTCTGTATGAAGGTCACAGCATCTAATAAACTTCTTTCTTCTCAAGTTTGGCTGGTTTGTCAGAGAGCAAGGTGAAACTTAACCTGAGACACAACAGCCGTGATATCTCCCCACCTGGGCTTGATAATGAGGTCCGAAGAGAACAGATAGTGAGAGATAGATTTGTTTCCCAGTCTGTACGAAGGTCACAGCGTCTTCAGCAGAAAGAGGCCCAAACAGAAAAGTCAAGGGGCGTTTCTAAGAATAGCTTCTTTGGTTTAAGAGCATCCCTGCCGGGTGCTTCTTTAGGTCAAGCAACGTTCGGGACTGTGGCTGGTCTTGGCAGAATTCCTGTGTTCCATGGCCAGTAATCCCAGAGGCTTGTAGTTTCCAAGTTCATGGTTAGTAAAAGGCTAACAGACTCCTGGTTATTGTTTTGTGGCTTTTGAAGTTTTGCTCAAGTTCAGAGATCCTATTGACTACTGTGTTTTTCTGTGGCTTTTTTACTCTGCATTTACCTTTCTTTTGTAACCAATTTTTCATCAATAAACAAGGATTGCTTTTCCTACAGTCCAGAGTGGTGGATTTAATCTTATGGTCTTGTTTCTTGAACTGGGATGCAACAGGTAGTGAGGTCTGTTGGAATTAGGACAATGGGTTTGTATATCTGTGGAATGGCTGGGGTGGGGCAAAGAGCTCTCTGCTGAAGCTAGGTGTGAATGTTTCAGCTGACCACCTTCATTAGCATTTGAAGGCCTGGCTGAGCCTGGGAAAATGTTCTGTTGAGAGGTGTTAAGATGTGCCTGGTTGTTTCCTCTCTGCTGTTTTGCTGTTGTAATTTTTGAGTTTTTTAATACTGGTAGCCAGATTTTGTTCATTTTCATGGTCTCCTCCTTTCTGTTGAAATTGTCCACATGATTGTGGATTTCAATGGCTTCTCTGTGTACTCTGACATGGTAGTTGTTAGACTGGTCCAGCATTTCTGTGTTATAAAATGCTCTGTCCAGGTTGGTTCATCAGGTGCTCTGCTATGGCTTACTTCTCTGGTTGAAGGAGTCTGCAGTGCCTTTCATGTTCCTTGATTCGTGTCTGGGCGCTGCGTTTGGTGGTCCCTATGTAGAGTTGTCCACAGCTGCATGGTATACGGTAGACTCCTGCAGAGGTGAGAGGATCCCTCTTGTCCTTTGCTGAACGTAGCATTTGTTGGATTTTCTTGGTGGGTTTGTAGATTGTTTGTATGTTGTGTTTCCTCATCAGCTTCCCTATGCGGTCAGTGGTTCCCTTGATGTATGGCAGGAACACTTTTCCTCTGGGTGGATCTTCATCTTTACTTTCGTGGCTTGTTCTTGGTCTTGCAGCTCTTCTGATGTCTGAGGTGGAGTATCCATTGGCCTGGAGAGCCCAGTTGAGGTGGTTCAGTTCATCTTGGAGGAGGTGGGGTTCGCAGATTCTTTTTGCACGGTCTGCCAAGGCTTTAATGGTGCTTCTTTTTTGACTTGGGTGATGGTTGGAGTTTTTATGTAGATATCTATCTCTGTGTGTGGGTTTTCTGTAGACGGTGTGACCCAATTGTTGATCTGGTTTGCGGATGACTAGGACATCTAGAAAAGGCAGTCTTCCTTCATTTTCTTTTTCCATGGTGAACTTGGATGTTTGGGTGGATGCTGTTAAGATGGTCCAGGAACCTGTTGAGTTCTTCTTCTCCATGGCTCCAAATGGTGAAGGTGTCATCCACATATCTGAACCATATCGTGGGCTTTTTGGTTGCTGTCTCCAGGGCTTGTTTTTCAAAGTGTTCCATGTAGAAGTTAGCTATGACCGGGCTGAGAGGGCTCCCCATAGCTACTCCATCTTTCTGTTCGTAGAATTCATTGTCCCACTGAAAGTAACTGGTGGTAAGGCAATGGTGAAACAGAGCCATGATGTCTTCTGGGAACCAGCGGCTGCCAATGGGAATCCGTGTTGCCTGAAAACAGATAGAAGACTCCATTTTGTATATTACATATAATAATATTACTACTATTACTAATAATATTACAATATACTGGTATAGTACAATAAAAGGTAAAGGTTTCCCTGAATTAAGTCCAGTCGTGTACAATTCTGGGAATTGGTGCTCATCTCCATTTCTAAGTTGAAGAGCCAGCATTGTACATAGACACCTCCAAGGTCATGTGGCCAGCATGACTGCATGGAGTACTGTTACCTTCCCACTGGATGTGGTCACTAGGGCTGGGTGGTTTCGTTCATTAATTTCGTAATTCGTTATTAATTCGTATTTAAATTAGCTTACGATCCGATATTGAGCCATGCAGGAATAGTGTGAGGAATAAATTAGATTCGAAACAATTTTTTCAATTTATTTCGTAATTATTTTGTAATTATTTCGTAATTATTTTGTAATTATTTCGTAATATTTTCGCATGTCTGGTGCAAGTTTTATAGTTGTTGTTTGTTTTATCACACCAACAGTCAACAACAGAGGGAGAGGGAAGCTTCAGAAGTTCCCCCTGTCCCATTTGGAGGTTTTTTTAGCATATTGCGCAATTGCGTCCGCCATTAACGAATCGATTCGAAATTAACGAAATTTCGTAAATAACGAAATTTTGAAATCTCAAAATTTCGGAAGTATTTAGAATTTGGAAACGCTAGCGCCCCCTGGAAACGAATCGAGTTTAGAAACAAATTTTTCCGTGGTTACCCAGCCCTATGTACTAGGGCTGGGCAACCACGGAAAAATTTGTTTCTAAACTCGATTCGTTTTTTGGGGTTTTTTGCGTTTCGATATTTAAAAGAATTCCGAAATTTTTATTTAAAAAAGTTCGATATTTACGAAATTTCGTAAAATTACAAAACAATACGAAACAATTACGAAACGAATACGAATCGATTCGTTAATGGCGGACGCAACCGCGCAATACGCTAAAAAACCTCCATATGGGACAGGGGGAACTTCTGAAGCTTCCCTCTCCCTCTGTTGTTGACTGTTGGTGTGATATTTATAATTTTTTTCACTGATTAAACAAACAACAGCTATAAAACTTGCCCCAGACATGCGGAAATAATAACGAAACGATTTAGACACGATTTAGAAACGAATACGAAATGAATAAATTGAAAAAATTCGTTTCGTTTTTTAGATGCTCCTGAATGGTTCGTTATCGCTTCGTAACAAAAAAAATAACGAATTTTTAACGAATTACGAAATTACGAAACGAAACCGCCCAGCCCTACTATCTACTGATCTACTCACATTTGCATGTTTCAAACTGCTAGGTTGGCAGAAGCTGGGGCTGACAGCAGAAGCTCACGCTGCTCCCCAGATTCGAGCCTACAACCTTTTGGTCAGCAAGCTCAGCAGCTCAGCGGTTTAACCCACTGCACCACTGGGGGCTTCATAGTAGCATATAGTAATATATAATACTGATATTGTACTATGCTAACAATATAATACGTTGTATGTATATATATCTTGTAAGCTGCTCTGAGTCCTCTTCAGGGTGAGAAGGGCGGCATATAAATGTCATAAATTAATTAATTAATTAATAAATTTTCAGGAGTCGGGTGCTACCTGACTCCTAACTGCTGAAAATGGGGAGAAAGCAGGGAAACTGTGAGAAATTACAGGAAACGTTGGTGGATGGCTGGTCATTCCAGAAAACATGGAAAGATGGTAGGGAACGAAATAGGATGATTCTCTCGATTTTCCCCGATCACCCGTCTGATGAGGTCCTATGTGTGTCTACTGCAATCTCCCAAAACACCCATTGTTTGCTTTATTTTACTTAAAGCAGGGGTCTTCAAACTATGGCCCGAGGGCCGAATACAGCTCCCCAATGTCATTTACCCGGCCTCACTCAGGGTCAACCTAAGTCTGAAACAACTTGAAAGCGCACAACAACAACAACAACAATCCTATCTCATCAGCCAAAAGCAGGCCCACACTTCCCATTGAAATACTAAGTTTATATTTGTTAAAATTGTTCTTTTTAATTGTTGTATTGCTTTTAAGTGTTTTTGGCACCAAATAAGATATGTGCAGCGTGCATAGGAATTCATTCATTGTATTGTCGAAGGCTTTCATGGCCGGAATCACTGGGTTGTTGTAGGTTTTTTGGGCTATATGGCCATGTTCTAGAGGCATTCTCTCCTGACGTTTCACCTGCATCTATGGCAAGCATCCTCAGAGGGTGTGTCAGTACCTCTGAGGATGCTTGCCATAGATACAGGCGAAACGTCAGGAGAGCATGCCTCTAGAAGCAGTGGGTCTCAACCTTCCTAACCCCTTAATACAGTTCCTCATGTTGTAGTCACCCCCAACCATAAAATTATTTTCTTTGCTACTTCATAACTGCAATTTTGCTACTGTTATGGATTGTAATGTAAATATCAGATATGCAGGATGTATTTTCATTCACAGGACCAATTTGGCACAAATACCAAATACCACATGTAAATGCTAGTGGAGTTGGGGGAGGATTGATTTTGTCATTTGGGAGTTGTAGTTGCTGGGATTTATAGTTATCCTACAATCAAAAAGCCAGTGATGCTTATTTATTTCTCGTGTCAGGGCAGCCAGTCAGTTATATTACATTTCTAACAGAACAAAGCAAACAAACAGACAAAATACAAAATTTGTGAGTTTGGTAGTTGATTCAATGTCCTTTGACCAGTATCTGGCCACTTGGAGTGCTTCTGGTGTTGCTGCAAGAAGGTCCTCCATTGTGCATGTGGCAGGGCTCAGGTTGCATTGCAGCAGGTGGTCAGTGGTTTGCTCTTCTCCGCACTCGCATGTCGTGGATTCCACTTTGTGGCCCCATTTCTTGAGATTGGCTCTGCATCTCGTGGTACCAGAGCGCAGTCTGTTCAGTGCCTTCCAAGTCGCCCAGTCTTCTGTGTGCCCAGGGGGGAGTCTCTCATCTGGTATCACCCATGATTGAGGTGCTGGGTTTGAGCCTGCCACTTTTGGACTCTCGCTTGCTGAGGTGTTCCAGCGAGTGTCTCTGTAGATCTTAGAAAACTATTTCTTGATTTAAATCGTTGACGTGCTGGCTGATACCCAAACAGGGGATGAGCTGGAGATGTCTCTGCCTTGGTCCTTTCACTATTGGCTGCTACTTCCCGGAGGATGTCAGGTGGTGCAATACCGGCTAAGCAGTGTAATTTCTCCAGTGGTGTAGAGCGCAGACACCCTGTGATAATGCGGCATGTCTCATTAAGAGCCACATCCACTGTTTTAGTGTGGTGAGATGTGTTCCACACTGGGCATGCATACTCAGCAGCAGAGTAGCATAGCGCAAGGGCAGATGTCTTCACTGTGTCTGGTTGTGATCCCCAGGTTGTGCCAGTCAGCTTTCGTATGATGTTGTTTCTAGCGCCCACTTTTTGCTTGATGTTTAGGCAGTGCTTCTTGTAGGTCAGAGCACGGTCCAGAGTGACTCCCAGGTATTTGGGTGTGCTGCAATGCTCCAGTGGGATTCCTTCCCAGGTAATCCTCAGAGCTCGGAATGCTTGCCTATTGTACTAATAGTACAATAACAGTGTAGTATCATAAGGAGTGAAGTCTATGGTTCTCAGAAGGAAACTTAGCTTCAATGGATTGGATAGAAATACTTACAAGTTCCCTTCCCAACTGCCCCATGATCTTTCTGCACGAAGGACATCTGTAAAGTGCTTGCATATCCAAAATGGGGTTATTTATTATTCTGTTGTAATTTTTTACCTACTCTTGTCTCCTGGAGCCTCGCCTACACTATGCAGCCTTCCCCCATCCAAAGGACCTTGCCCGAACCGTTTGACCCGTTACTATTATAACCAGAATCACAAACAATGTGAACCATTTATTTATGGTGGCTGCGAGGGCAATGGAAATGCGTTTGAAACACTCGAAAGCTGCGAAAAATGGTGCAAAGTTTCAAAAGGTAAGCAATTTTTGGAGTCTAGTGCTGTTGAACAGGAGTTATTCATCCAGAAATGCTATAGTTTTGTATTATGAAAAAGGAATCAGGAAGGGAGAGTTGTAGTACTTGTTGCTATGCTTACAGCTTAGCTTCTAAGACTCCTGTATATATTTCCACGCTGTCTGGATCTCTTTGGTGAGGTTTTCCTCTGCCATTTTGGTGGCACTGATCGNTTCCTCTTCCAAGCCTCGTTTCCTCCTACTAGCACTAGTAGATACATGAGGCACACGCTGAGTTACAACATTGTCCCTTGTAAGCCGCCCCGAGTCCCCTTGGGGAGATGGTTGGTGGAGTATAAAAATTATTATTATTATTATTATTATTATTATTATTATTATTATTATTATATCATCCAATCTACTGTTCTGGGGTGTCTTGGATTTCTAATTGACCATCCTTATTGAGATAAGTGAGGGGGAGTCTTGAAGAGGCGAGGGCGTGTGCTATGGGTTCCGTTTCCAACCATTGGAAATAGTGGAAGCTATTACGGTTTTTTTTTTCTCAAAGTGACACTCCATCTGAGTTATGCTGTGTTTTTTTGGTGAATTTTGACACACCAAGCTCAAAAGGTTGCCCATCACTGCACTAAAACCATGGGTTCGAGGGCCCGGTGTCTAGCTTTCAAGAAGGTCAAACCAGACACAGACGGGTAGAAGGCAAAAGCAGAGGTTTATTCTCAAAGGCCAAAGAGGATGTCGGCAGAGACAGCACTCCAAAGCACTGACATAAACACAACTGAAAATACAGAATCCTAGAATCCTAGAATCAAAGAGTTGGAAGAGACCTCCTGGGCCATCATCCAGTCCAACCCCATTCTGCCAAGAAGCAGGAATATTGCATTCAAATCACCCCTGACAGATAGCCATCCAGCCTCTGTTTAAAAGCTTCCAAAGAAAGAGCCTCCACCACACTCCCTCTGGTGCAGAGAGTTCCACTGCTGAACGAGCCGTTCAGGAAGTTCTTCCTTATGTTCAGATGGAATCTCCTCTCTTGTAGTTTGAAGCCATTGTTCCCTTGCGTCCTAGTCTCCAGGGAAGCAGAAAACAAGCTTGCTCCCTCCTCCTCCCTGTGGCTTCCCTTCACATATTTATACATGGCTCTTATCACATCTCCTCTCAGCCTTCTCTTCTTCAGGCTAAACATGCTCAGCTCCTTAAGTCGCTCCTCATAGGGCTTGTTCTCCAGACCCTTGAGAACAAGGGTCTGGGGGATGCTTGCCATAGATGCAGGCGAAACGTCAGGAGAGAATGCCTCTAGACCATGGCCGTATAGCCCGAAAAAACCTACAACAACCCAAAATAACATTACGTTATCAATGGGAGTACGAAACGGACATTCATTGAATAGTTGGGGTGTTGTGTGGTTTCTGGGTTGTATGGTCTCTGAAGATGCCAGCCACAGATGCAGGTGAAACATCAGGAGGAAATGCTGCTAGAACATGGCCATACAGCCAGGAAACCACACAACACCACAGTGGTTCCAGCTGTGAAAGCGTGGAAAAATACAGTCAATGAATAGTGTATCTGGTGTTCATTCCTTGAGTAAGTTCCGAGTTCATTGTGAGGGGATTATGACAATTAAAGGAAGAGTGAGACGCACTCTGTCTGTTCTTGCACGTGGCAGGGTGAACCTTTTGTTTTTCTACTGCACCGCTGCCACCAATAAATATGTGAGGCCCTCTCTGGTCTCGTGGCCCGGATGAAGGGACCTCTTAATTGCTTATCTAATCTGAAATGCAAAACGGTCAGGAAGGGGACAGGCTGACAGTCTGAGCAAAATATGACACTAAGGAGCAAAGGATTGTTTTCTTCTCCTTCCTTCTCAAGCTTCCTTCTCCTCAAGCTGGAAGTGATACATGGAGAGAGAGAGAGTTTGTGTAGAATCATAGAATCCAAGAGTTGGAAGAGACCTCATGGACAATCATCCAGTCCAACCCCATTCTGCCAAGAAGCAGGAATATTGCATTCAAAGCACCCCTGACAGATGGCCATCCAGCCTCTGTTTAAAAGCCTCCAAAGAAGGAGCCTCCACCACACTCCCTCCGGGGCAGAGAGTTCCACTGCTGAACGGCTCTCAGAGTCAGGAAGTTCTTCCTCATGTTCAGATGGAATCTCCGGCCCTGTTTACCTCTCCGAACGTATTCTCCCCTATGAACCATCAAGATTATTAAGATCGCCTGGAGAGGCCCTGCTCTCGGTCCCACCGGCCTCACAAGCGTGTCTGGTGGGGATGAGGGACAGGGCCTTCTCGGTGGTGGCCCCGCGACTCTGGAACTCTCTCCCACCGGAGGTTAGAACCGCCCCTTCTATCCTGACTTTTAGGAAACAGGTGAAGACGTGGTTATGGAGACAAGCTTTTGATGAGTGAGACAACACCCTAAGACATGGATGGGAGATGATGTATAATTGGTTTTTAGTATGACGACTGACCACTGTAGTTTTGGATATATTTGTTGTTTTAATGTGTTATTGTAATATGAACTATGATGTTTTTACCGATTGTATGTGTTTTTATGGTTGGAAACCGGTCTGAGTCCCTCAAAAGAGGTGAGAAGGTCGGTATATAAAACTCTGAAATAAATAAATAAATAAATCTCCTCTCTTGTAGTTTGAAGCCATTGTTCCATTGCGTCCTAGTCTGCAGGGAAGCAGAAAGGAAGCTCCCTCCCTCCTCCCTGTGGCTTCCCCTCACATATTTATGTTGTAGGCCAGAAACATCTGGAGACCCCAGGTTGAGAACCACTGCCTTAAGCCGTCTCTCCCAAAGATAGCTGTTGCCTCACCAAACTACAAATCCCAGGATTCCATAGGATTGAGGCATGGCACTTCAAGGGGTTCCAAACTGCATTTATTCCACAGTGCAGAATGAATGCAGTTTGACACCGTTTTTACTGCAATGGCTCCAAGGAAATGTTGTCAAGCCACAATGCATTTTGAAGAGATGTCAAATTGTATAAGATGCCGTGCTTTCTCTTTATCCGCCCTCAGTCTCTTTGGAGAGATAGAACGGAATTTATTATTATTATTATTATTATTATTATTATTATTATTATTATTATCATTATTATTATCATTATTATTATTATTATTATTATTATTATTATTATTATTATTATGCTTGTACACTTTGTAGCATCTGCTTGTACTTCCATCCTTTTAATGTTTTGTTTTATTGTTTATATTGTTTATCGCAAAGGCTGATCTGGCCGGGGTGGTCCATGCCTTGGTCACCTCTAGATTGGACTACTGTAATGCGCTCTACGTGGGGCTGCCCTTGAAAACGGCTCGGAAATTTCAACTGGTCCAATGGGCAGCAGCCAGGATGTTAACTGGCGCTTCCTACAGAGAGAGGTCAACCCTCCTGTTCAAGGAGCTCCACTGGCTGCCGTTTATTTTCCGAGCCCAATTTAAGGTGCAGGTGCTTACCTACAATGCCCTGAACGGTTTGGGACCAGCCTACCTGCTTGACCGCATCTCCGTTTATGAACCCATGCACTCACTTCGTTCATCCGGAGAGGCCCTGTTCGTGATTCCGCCTGCGTCACAGGCACGTTTGGTGGGGACATGAGACAGGGCCTTTTCTGTAGTGGCCCCCGACTCTGGAAAATCCTCCCAAAATATCTTAGACAGGCCCCTACATTGACAGTCTTTAGGAAGAACTTGAAGACCTGGCTGTTCTGATGTGCCTTCCCAGAATAGGAAAACTCCAATAACAAGTACGATAATCACTTTATTAGAATTAAGATTGCCGCACTCTGCACACTGCACTTCCCCTATAATCCTTACATATCACCTGTCACATCAGCACTTTTAATTCTGTACCCATTACTCTGGCCCGGCCCAGTTTTATTGTGTTTTGGTGTATTGTTTATTGTCTGTTGTTTTGTTGTTTAATATTGCTTTAATTGTTTTTAATTTGCTTTAGGTGTTGTGTTGTTATGTTGTGTGTTGAGGCCTTGGCCTTTGTAAGCTGCATCGAGTCCTTTGGGAGATGCTAGCGGGGTACAAATAAAGATAATAATAATAATAATAATAATAATAATATGCTTATATGTTTTATACTTTCATGTTATGTTGTTTATTTTATTGCAATATGTATCTCATTGTATTGTAATTTGTTGTTTGGGCTTGACCTCATGTAAGCTGCTCCGAGTCCCCGTTGGGGAAATGGTGGTGGGGTATAAATGAAGATGATGATGATGATGATGATGATGATGATGATTATCATTTTTTGGCCAAATTGAATAAACCTCTGTGGCTTGTCTTCAATCTGGTGAGTGTTCCTCTGTCCTGCCCCATTTGGTTTAGCATAGGCTTGCCAGGTAAGGATCCTTTTATCCATGGTCCTAGCTTATTTATTTATTTATTTGCCTGACTTCTATGCCGCTGTTCACATCCCGAAGGCGACTCACAGCGGTTCACAACAAATACGAACAGCAAAAATTCAGTGCTACAGTATAGAAACAGTTAACAACCTAACACATTACACAATTAATAAACAGTTACTACAATACCCATTCACTGTCGTCTCGTCATCAAAAACATGTTCCAGATTCGTCATCCATTGTTCCATTCCAGTGTTCATTAACCAATCATTGCACTAATTATTGGAACGCCTGCTCAAACAGCCAGGTCTTCACTTTTTTGCGGAATACCATTAGAGATGGTGCTAGTCTAATGTCCGTAGGAAGGGCGTTCCACAGCCGAGGAGCCACCACCGAGAAGGCCCTATCTCTCGTCCCCGCCAGCCGAGCTTGAGAAGCAGGCGGGATCGAGAGCAGGGTCTCCCTGGAAGATCTCAAAGTCCTGGTGGGTTCATAGGCAGAGATGCGGTCGGATAGGTAGCTTATCCGCTTCATTATGGAATCCTGGGAGTTGTAGTTTGGCAAGACCCATAGCTTTCCCTGCCCAAGACGGCTGGTGTCCTGCCAAACTCCAAATCCCAAGCTTGTGTAGTGGTGAGCTATGGCAGTCCAAGTAGGGCCAAACCTCATTAATTCTACAGCCAGTGTCAGAAAATGCACCAGGCTTCCCCATTTCACATCTTGATTGGTAGCCAAACTGAAGGGAATGAAGCAGAAGAGGAGCTGGGCGTTCTAATCTGTTTCAAGAGGGGAAATACTACTCAGCAGTTGTGAAATATCTGTTTGCAGTAAAATAATCTTCACCTCTTACGGGAACCACAGGGAAGGGCAGATTGGGTCCTTCTGGAAAGGCTGAAAATAGAACAAGAATGATTACTGTTCCCTTTGGATTCATTCGGAATCTCTAATTGCAGGCTGAGCATTTGCATTATGGTGATGCCAATTGTTGCTTTACACAGTACAATTGCAAAATGTCATACACTCCAACTTTTCACAGGCACAAGTTGGAACACATCTTTCCATCAGCTCCGCTGGATTGGCTGTGTTGTCTGGATGCCCGACCGCAGTTGTTCTACTCCGAACTCAAGAATGGAAAATGGAATGTTGGTGGGCAGGAAAAGAAATCTAAAGATGGGCTCAAAGCCAACCTTAAAACTCTGGCCTAGACACTGAGAACTGGGAAGCTCTGGCCCTTGAATGCTCCAGCTGGAGGTCAGCTGTGACCAGCAGTGCTGCAGAATTTGAAGAGGCACAAATGGAGGGTGAAAGAGTGATACGTGCCAAGAGGAATGTGCGTCAAGCTAACCCTGACCGGGACCTCCTCCCACCTGGAAACCGATGCCCTCACTGCGGGAGAAGATGTAGATCAAGAATAGGGCTCCACAGTCACCTACGGATTTGTTTTCCGTTCTTGAGTTCAGAGCAGAGCAACTGCTTTGGGAGACGGTGGTCGGGCATCCAGACAACATGGCTAGTCCAGCAGAGTTGATGGTGGAGGAGCAACGCTTCAATGCTGGTGGTCTTTGCTTCATCCAGCACGCTGACATTTGTCCACTTGTCTTCCCAAGAGATTTGCAGGATTTTCCGGAGGCAGTGCTGATGGAATCATTCCAGGAGTTGTGTGTGACGTCTGTAGACTTACAGTGATGTAGAGATAAAATTTAGGGGTCTTTGCCAGGAGGCAGAGATCAATTAGACTCATCAAAGAGTTCTTTTTCCCTGGCGAGACAGAAAAGCATCCCATATTTTTCCCTGATTTCCCAATGAAAAGTCTCACCAGTTGAAGAAAAGTCATCAAGGTTTAATGCGATTCAGCTGAAACGGATGCAGAGCTGCAATCATTCACCAAGCTAAGCATGAGGGGAGTACACCAATACAGTCATATTTATAGCAAATTCAAACTTGCAGAGTTCAAACTCCCCGCCCCGGCTTCCCTGTTGTTCCCCGCCATGATTGGGCAATGGGCAAACAGCTGGGAGGCGGCCCTCCCACCCCCGGTGCCTCTGGACCAATAAGGAAGCTCCAGTGGTCCGTAGGACCCAATGGGGAGACCTCTGTCACCTGGTGATGACAGCTAATCAGGAGAGATGGAGGCGGAATGATCTTTAAACAAAGGGCATGCCATGTGGCCGGCGAGACAAAGAGCTCAAGCAGGGCTGCTTTGAGTGTTGTGAATCAACATGTGTAAAAATATCCAGATCCTTCCTGGCTGTGAGACAGGAGAACAATGATGGCAGCCTGAGGTTAATGCTAAGTAAACAAAAGCAGAGGGGAAGATTTCCCCTTATCTTACAGAAACTTTTGTCAAACAATTCTTTACTCTAGTGGACCATTTCCGATGCTAGAGATAAGAATTTCCTTCTTTTATCCATGCAAGTGTGTCTTTGGCAGGAGGTTTCAGTAATCGCTAATGGCTTTTGTTTCTGAAGGTTCCCTTACATATTTTTTTGGAGGGAGAAGGGGCAAAGGGTCAGGAATACAAGGAAACATTAAAAAAACATATAGAAATTATACACAGGGAAATCATATGCAGGTATCTTCCCATTCAGAGAGAAATTAATAATACCAATTATAAAAAGCAGACAATATCAGGACTCAGCATGAATTCATAAGTTGTCTTGAAGAAAGTTCATGGGTAGAGAGTGAGTCCTTGAAGAGAGTGAAGTCCAGGAATGTAGCAGAATTCAAAAAGCCAACAAAGGGAGTCTATGGAGTTCCACTGGGCCAAGGCACAAAGCCCTGCAGCGCTGGGATAGAAGCCGGTCCCATGGTCCTTGGAAAACTACAACTCTCGAGAGAGGCAGAGACCCCAAGGTCTAGCCATTCCCGAAGTTTCATGGGGTCCTCATTGTTGTTAAGGTCTTGGCAAATTGACCAAGACATAACCCCTATTGTGCAGTCTGGTACCTTTGTCCTTTGCAGCACTATAAGTCACCATCCCTTGTTAGGGGTGGGGCATGCTCGACTTCAACAGGTTTACAGCACCATCGAAGGGATGGGCAGAGCGGGGCCCCAATCCTTCCAGGACTTCCTCAAGGGAGGTGCACAGGAGTCTTGTTCTCCGGGAATTCCCCTCCTTGGCTTCCTTTGTTATGCAGGTTGTAAACACAGTCATTCCTGTTTGGTTAGCAGTTAATTGGACAGCATCGGCACAACCTTGGAGTCATGGCTGTGGCCAGAGGTGGCCCTAGGTATTTTTCAATGGCAAGCAAACAGTATTCCCCCCCCCCCCCCCAACCAATCACTGATATATATTTTCATCGTGGGAGTTCTGTGTGCCATATTTGGTTCAATTCCATCACTGGTGGAGTTCAGAATGCTCTTTGATTGTAGGTGAACTATACATCCCAGTAACTACAACTTGCATATGTCAAGGTCTATTTTCCCCCAAGAGTGCCTCAAGAGCAACATCAACTGTACTGCAAATGCTTACTTTGCGTAATGTAATGCTACCCCTCTATTCTGCTTTGGTTAGAGCACACCTGGAATATTGTGTCCAATTCTGGGCATCACAATTCAAGAGAGATATTGACAAGCTGGANATAATAATAATAATAATAATAATAATAATAATAATAATACGTTGAACTAGATGGGTTATTGCATTGATCCAACATGGTTCTTCTTTATCTTCTTATGTCTTTCCGCTTTTATGCTATCTTCTTGGGCTACTAACAGAAGTGCTTCCAACACCCACTACACGACCAGATGAGGAAACGACCACTGGTAAGACTCAGAAAAACCATCAAAATGAGATATTATTAATCCTAACATGGTAGTTTCCCACTCTGTATTTTTTTAGTAATTGTGGGGTTTTTTTGTGTGCTACATACAACAAAATTATACACACTTCAATAAAAGTATCAGAGAAGGATAGGAAAAAATAAACATAAACAAATATGAGAAATATGTATAAAATTCTATAGCTAGATAAACATGAATTAAAATAAAGATAAATGACTTATTTGTTTATTTATTGCATACTATCCGTCCCCTGCCATGCATTGCTGTGGCCCACTTTAGTGATCTGGAATGAGAAAGTGTTGGTTTCTAATATATGTAATTTCTTGATGCTTGTGGGAAAACAGTATTTCTTCTTGTTTCTTTGTCAGTGTTGATGTGGAGATTGTCTGGAACGTGCAACATATAATTGTCCTTTCAAACCTATGATACTATAGCTGTGTGTGTGTGAATCATATATATCTATCTATATCTATGGCTAGGAGCCCCCGGTGGCGCAGTGGGTTAAAGGACTGAGCTGCTGAGCTTGTTGATCAAAAGGTCGCAGGTTCAATTCCGGGGAGCGGCATGAGCTTCCGCTGTCAGCCCTAGCTTCTGCCAACCTAGCAGTTCGAAAACATGCAAATGTGAGTAGATCAATAGGTACCGCTCCGGCGGGAAGGTAATGGCACTCCATGCAGTCATGCCGGCCACATGACCTTGGAGGTGTCTACGGACAACGCCGGCTCTTCGGCTTAGAAATGGAGATGAGCACCACACCCCAGAGTCAGACATGACTGGACTTAATGTCAGGGGACTACCTTTACCTTTACCTTATATCTATGGCTGGATGGCTCTTTGTCAGGAGGGCTTTGCCTATGTTTTCTTGCCCTGGTGAAGGGAGTTGGACTGGATGGCCTTAAGTATTTTCTGTTGGTCATGGGGGTTCTGTGTGGGAAGTTTGCCCCACTTCTGTCATTTGTGGGGTTCAGAATGCTATTTGTTTGTAGGTAAACTACAAATCCCAGTAACTACAAGCCCAAAATGTCAGGGTCTATTTCCTCCCAAACTCCATCTGTGTTCATATTTGGGCATATGGCATATTCGTGCCAAGTTTGGTCCAGATCCATCATTGTTTGAGTCCACAATGCTCTCTGGATGTAGGTGAACTACAACTCCCAAACTCAAGGTCAATGCCCACCAAACCCTTCGAGTGTTTTCTGTTGGTCATGGGAGTCCTGTGTGTCATATTTGGTTCAATTCCATCATTAGTGGAGAACAGAATGCTCTTTGATTGTAGGTGTACTATGAATCCCAACAGCTACAACTGCCAAATTACAAAATCAATTTTTTTGAGTGATAGTCGCTCCTTGGGTTAGAAGGTGTCTTGTGGCCAAATTTGGTGGCAATTCGTCTAGTGATTTTTGAGTTATGTTAATCTCACAAACGAACATTACATTTTATATATAAATAAAATGTAATGTTCGTTTGTGGGATTAACAGAACTCAAAAACCACTGGGTGAATTGACACCAGATTTGGACATGATACCCCTAACAGACCAACAAGTGACCATCACTCATTAAAAAAAAACAAAAATAGCAGAAAGGACTTAAAACCCCCAAAAAGCTAAATGATGAAAAGCTAAATGACAATGCAGAAAAATAGGAAAGGAAGAGGGAGGGAAGGAAGGGGTAAAAGAAAGGAAGGAGAGAAAGAGGGAGGGAAAGAAAGAAGGAAAGAGAGAAGGATGGATGGAAGCAAAGAGCAATGGAAGGAAGGAAAGAGGTAGAGAAGGAAGAAAGGAGAGAAAGAAAGAAAGGAGAAAAAGAGGGACAGCAAGAAAGAAGGAAAGCAAGAAGGAAGGATGGAAGCAATGAGCAAAGGAAGGAGAGAAAGAAGTAGGGGGAAGGAAGTAAAAAGATAGAAGAGGAAGGAAGGAGAGAAAGAAAGAAAAAGGGAAGAAAGGAAAGAAAGAGGGAGCAAAGGAAGGAGAGAAAGGGAGGGAAGGAAGAAAGACGAGAAAGAGGGAGGAAAAGAAAAAGGGGAGAAGGAAGGAAAGAGGTAGTGAAGGAAGGAAGGAGAGAAGGAAAGAAAAAAAAGGGGAAGAAGGAAAGAGGGAGCAAAGGAAGGAGGGAAAGAAGCAACGCGTGGAGGGTATAGCTAGTTATTTATATAGATTTATGCTGCCTTTCTCCTATAATGGGAATCAAAGTGGTTTCCAGCCTTGGAGTAGAAGTACATGCAGCATCTAACAACGCCCTATTTCCCCTGATACGTAATGCAGTTTCAAACTGCATGATATGGGGCCATTCCATAAGCCATGTAGCCCAGAATATCAAGGCAGAAAATCCCACAATATCTGCTTTGAACTGGGTTATCTGAGTCCACACTCAGATAATGCGGGATATTCTGCCTTGATATTCTGGTTTGTAGGGCTGTGTGGAAGGGCCCCGAATCAGTGTAGTAGAACTCATATAATGCAGTTTAATTGCACTGAACTGCCTGAGTTAACACTGATCATATAATATAGTTTCAAACTGCATTATATGGCAGTGTAGATGTGGACTCCATCTGTCTCTTAGAATGTGTTTGACATGTTGTTTAATCCAGAGAGGAGCTGGATCAGCTCTGAAGTCATTATATTAGATGGGTGGATGCAGCTCCCAAGCCAGCTCAGGGGCTGTCAGTATTCCTGCCCCAATGCAGATACGGAGTAGCCCACTCTGGATCAACATTGGGCTAACTGTCCTGTCAAGATGTAGTCACCCACCAGGCAAGCCTATATTCCAATCTTTTTCTGCCAAATGAAGCTGTTTGGAAGCTGGGCTTCAAGTTTTCTTTGGTGGACATGAGATGTTTAGTACACAGGAAGATGGAGCCTGTAATGTAAATCCAATTACGAGAGTGATAAGCAGGAACAAACAGAGGCGGCCCTAGGTAATTTTCAATGGTAAGCAAACAGTATTTTGGCGCCCCACCCCCAACCAATCCTTGCTATATATTTTCTGTTTGTCGTGAGAGTTCTGTGTGCCATATTTGGTTCAATTTCATCATTGGTGGAGTTCAGAATGCTCTTTGATTGTAGGTGAACTATACATCCCAGTAACTACACTTGCCACATTTGCTCCCTTGCCTGGCTCGTTTTGGGTCCGGAGGCATGCCTGAAGACCCCGACCAAAAGTTGCCTCTTCTCCTGACTTTCAAACATGCCTCTGGACCCAAAGCGGGCCACGTGCGGTTGCTCCACCCCTTGGCCCACCCGCAGATTGGGGAGAGGAGAGGAGGCGGGTGGAGAGCCGGGGGATCGGGAAAGGGAGCCGGTCATGGGGAAGGGATTGAATGCGGAGAACGATTGAGTGCCTGCTCTGCTCACGCACCCAGTGGCCGGGTGGAGCAGGAATGAGAGGGGCTAGGTGAGGCCCTTTGGGAAGAAGATCACCCGGCAGCGAGGCAAGAAAGCCGAGGCTCCCCCCCCCCCGGCTGTTGTGAGCTGAGGGGGCGCTCCTCAAATGGCAGTCGAGGGGCATTTACAGAGGTGCCTCTGCGCTCCTGGCAAAAAAAAGTGTTCTGCAGCCGCTTACTTCACGTAATGGACGAGCCGCCCCTGGGAACAAATTAGTCCAAGGTAGGGTTCAGCAAAGTTCAAAAACAAAGTACAGACTTCTCTAATAAAATCCAAAGAAACAGGGAAACGGTGATCCAAGGCATGAATAAGTAATCACAAGAGACAACGAGTCAAACCAGACATCAAGAAGTCCTTAACATAAATCTTTCAAGCAAGGCTTACATGGGACAAGAGCAGGAACTTTGCATGAATCTGAAACAATGCTTCATCTGACTGTTTCCCATGGTAGGAACTTAATATTCCCTCGTTAATTCCAAGTACTCAGAAACTGTTTTTGTTTTCCCTGAATGCCTCTCATTCTTATCTGTCGAAGCCTGGCAGAACAGTGAAGGCCTTGGCCAATCTGTTTGGCTACTTTCCATCCGTCTGTCTATATGCTCATTATCTATATGCTCATTAGTTACTCCAGGCGCCAAGTTGTTTTCAAATCCCAAATCCTGGGAACTCTCTGGGAGCAATCCAGGAAGTAAATTATCATCCCTATGCCCTATAGCAGGGGTCCTCAAACTATGGTCCAGGGCCGGATGCGGCCCTTCAAGGTCATTTACCCGGCCCTCGCTCAAGGTCAACCTAAGTCTGAAACGACTTGAAAGCACACAACAGCAACAACAATCCTATCTCATCAGCCAAAAGCAGGCCCACACTTCCCATTGAAATACTAATAATTTTATATTTGTTGAAATTGTTCTTCATTTTAATTATTGTATTGTTTTTAAGTGTTTTTTGCACTACAAAAAAGATATGTGCAGTGTGCATAGGAATTCATTCATGTTTTTTTCAAATTATAATCCGGCCCTCCAACAGTTTGAGAGACTGTGACCTGGCCAGGCCCGTAGCCAGGATTTTGTTTTGGGGGGGGGGGCTGAGTTTGGTTCGGGGGGGGCTGAGTCTGAGTGAAAGAGGGTCTACCCTAGCAAACCTTTTGTATCGTTACCCTAATACCCCCATGCACAGAGGCGGCCCTAGGTAATTTTCAAAGGTAAGCAAACAGTATTTTGGTGGCCCCCCCCCCAAATCAATCATTGATATATATTTTCTGTTCGTCGTGGGAGTTCTGTGTGCCATATTTGCTTCAATTCCATCATTAGTGGAGTTCAGAATGCTCTTTGATTGTAGGTGAACTATACATCCCAGTAACTACACTTGCCGCACTTGCTCCCTTGCCTGGCCCGCTTTGGGTCCGGAGGCGTGCCTGAAGACCCCGGCGTGTGCACCAAAGGTCACCTCTTCTCCTGACTTTCTCCTCAGCCATTGGGACCAAGAGAGAGAGAGAGAGAGAGCGAGGTGGAGATGCCCACCTTTCCTGAAGGTAGGCGCAAAAACAAAGGAGGGAGCGGAGGTGGGAGATACCTCCAGCCGGAGGGGCTCTCTCTCTCTCTCGGTCCCAATGGCTGAAGAGAAAGTCAGGAGAAGAGGTGACTGTTGGTGCTCACGCTGGGGTCTTCAGACACACCTCCGGACCTGAAGCAGGCCAGACACGGCGGCTCCGCCCCTTGGCCCACCCGCAGATTGGGGAGAGGGTGGAGCGCTGGGGGATCGGGAAAGGGAGCCGGTCATGGGGAAGGGATCTAATGGGGAGAACAATTGAGCTCTGGCTCTGCTCGCGCACCCGGTGGCTGGGTGGAGCAGGAACGAGAGGGGCTAGGCGAGGCTCAAGGGCCCGGCCCCTTTGGGAAGAGGATCGCCCGGCAGCGAGGCAAGAAAGCCGAGGCTCCCGCCGGACTGTTAGGGCTGTTGTGAGGTGAGGGGGCGCTCCTCAAGTGGCGGTCGAGGGGCATTTACAGAGTCGCCTTTGCACCCCTGGCAAAAAAAAGTGTTCTGCGACCGCTTACTTCGCGTAATGGACGAGCCGCCCCTGCCCATGCATATGGGATATATTGAGCATGGTGATCAGATCATGATATGAATAAACATAACAGTTTAAATAATGTATCAGTAAGGCCTTCTCGCGGACCACCATGAGAATTGGGGGGGGGGGGGCTGAAGCCCCCCAAGCCCTCCCCTGGCTACATGCCTGGACCTGGCCTTCTGTTTAAAAAGTTTGAGGAACCCTTGCCCTATAGGAACATTCTCATGGGAAACTACACTTTGAACCGGTGTCTCTATGTCATTCTCTGCATTAATATCATTGACCAGACCATCACCATCTTGACCCTCACTGACATCATCCCCCACATCTAAAGCACCTTGATCTTGAAACACAATCACAGGCTGAACTCCAACAGATAGGCTCATTGTACTTCGTCTATGAACTGTTTTAAAAGTGCATGGAAATCGGGGAACGGGGCGGACTTGCATGTGATGAACCCTTTGTCAATCAGTTGTGTCTGTGTAGATTGCTGTGTGACAAAGTAGGTTTTTTTTATCTAATCCATCATGCATCTTCTTATTTTCTTATGTTCTTCCATTCTTCTTCTTGGACTACTGATACTCTGACCAGCACCTTCAATGAAAGACGTCTCCCCTGCAGGTGAGAACCATTCATCCTGCTACTACTACTGTATTTATTACCTTTGATGATGCCAGACACCGCCAAACGTATGATTATGAAAATGAAGTGAGGTGGCTGGATGATTTTAAATTGCTTAACCAAAGCAATGCCATAGATGTCACTTTCTGAAACACAGTTTGCCATTTTCTATTTGTTTCTGATTCTGTTTGTAACAAAAATAGATGGCATTCCAATAGTAACGTACAGGGGCAACATTGAAATGTACTCCTAGAACTGATGAGAGAGGACAAGGAGCATCCTTCTCAGATCCCAATACAACTATGGGAAGAGAGGAGTTTTGTTTGTTTCTTTATTGAATTAATATCCCATTTTTCTCTCAAAATGGAATACTTCTGGACCTACTTTTGAAGTCCAGGAAGATAGTATCAACTTCCTGAAATCAACGGAAATCTGTAATTGGTTAAATGGACGAACCCAGAGAGTGCTCACTAATGCTTCCTCTTCATCTTGGAAAGAAGTGACGAGCGGAGTGCCGCAGGGTTCCGTCCTGGGCCCGGTCCTGTTCAACATCTTTATTAATGACTTAGATGAAGGGCTAGAAGGCATGATCATCAAGTTTGCAGACGACACCAAATTGGGAGGGATAGCCAATACTCCAGCGGACAGGAGCAGAATTCAAAACGATCTTGACAGATTAGAGAGATGGGCCAAAACTAACAAAATGAAGTTCAACAGTGACAAATGCAAGGTACTCCACTTTGGCAGGAAAAGCGAAATGCAAAGATACAGAATGGGGGACAATGCCTGGCTCGAGAGCAGTACGTGTGAAAAAGATCTTGGAGTCCTCGTGGACAACAAGTTAAACATGAGCCAACAATGTGATGTGGAAAAACTCCCAATGGGATTTTGGCCTGCATCAATAGAGCATAGTGTCTAGATCTAAGGAAGTAATGCTACCCCTCTATTCTGCTTTGGTTAGACCACACCTGGAATATTGTGTCCAATTCTGGGCACCATAATTGAAGAGATATTGACAAGCTGGAATGTGTCTAGAGGAGGGCGACTAAAATGATCAAGGGTCTGGAGAACAAGCCCTATGAGGAGCGGCTTAAAGAGCTGGGCATGTTTAGCCTGAAGAAGAGAAGGCTGAGAGGAGATATGATAGCCATGTATAAATATGTGAGAGGAAGCCACAGGGAGGAGGGAGCAAGCTTGTTTTGTGCTTCCCTGGAGACTAGGACGCGAACAATGGCTTCAAACTACAAGAAAGGAGATTCCATCTGAACATGAGGAAGAACTTCCTGACTGTGAGAGCCGTTCAGCAGTGGAACTCTCTGCCCCGGAGTGTGGTGGAGGCTCCTTCTTTGGAAGCTTTTAAACAGAGGCTGGATGGCCATCTGTCAGGGGTGATTTGAGTGCAATATTCCTGCTTCTTGGCAGAATGGGGTTGGACTGGATGGCCCATGAGGTCTCTTCCAACTCTTTGATTCTATGATGCCATGGAGTTTTGGGGGGTGCGGAATGGCACAGTGTGTCGCTTTCTACCTCTCATGTTTCCCCCATTCTCCTTCAGCTAGTGATGGTCATGAGCTGGAAAGCAGGTAGGTTGAGTATTTAAGGAGGAAGAAGACACACAGCCACACCTGTTGGGGATTTACACTTTACCCGTGTGATATTTTTCTCATTTGAAAAGGTTTCCACGATTGCGATTTATTTAACTTTAGCACCACAATCAGCACTGGTTGCAGGATGTTGTTGGTGTTCTGGATCCAAATGTTGTTGCTGTTGTTTGTTTGTGTGTTTTATGTGACATCCTGATGGTCAGACGACTGCTCATGTTTTATAAGATGTGTAAACAAACAGGCAAATGATAGATGATAGGGGAAAGCCGTGTTTATCTCAGTGCTTAGCATTATCATGCCTCTGCCGCCACACAATCCCAGTTATTGCTTCTTTTCTTGCTACGAGAGCCTTCTCGGCCATCTCTTCTTCTCAGCTATCACTTCCAGGTGCATTTCCTTTCCAAATGTCCCAGATGAGAAAAAAAGAAAAGAAAGGAAACAAACATCGTTCAAAGAGAATGAAAGAGAAAGCAAATAGAGAGGAGGTATGATAGTTGAGAAGGACACAGCCTACTAGCTGGGCAACAGTGCAAGCCTAGGAGCACTTGGAGCTCTGTACGCCACCACTGTATCTGCTCCTATTTGGAAAAAAAAACACATTTTTCACCCCCAAATGATTCCAAACACCATCTAGGAGACATGGACATTTTCAACATGTCTTCAGGCCTTCCTGGGACATTTTTAACAACAGGAATAGTGCAGAAGTAATTTCTGGTTCACTTATTGTTGCGAAAAAGGTCTTATCTAGGTCTAAATTGTCCTGGGGATGGGGCATGAGGGGAGTTACCAGTACACAATATGTGGTGAAAATGCTGTCCCAAAAGAGGGCATTTGGGGGCAAAAATGTTTTTTCTTCTCTTTCTTTTTTTCTGCAATGTTGTTTTATTGGGGACCACTGGGGCCTCCAGACATGGTGGAAATACCCTCTACACCCCAGAACCATTTAGGTGTCACTTTGTACCTTCGAGGCCACAAACATTGTCCAGTGGGGGAACATGTGATCCACAGGCTGCATTTTGATTATGCCTAGACTAAAACTATTCTCCTCCTGTATTGTCGAAGGCATTCATGGCCGGAATCACTGGGTTGTTGTAGGTTTTTTATATGGCCATGGTCTAGAGGCATTCTCTCCTGACGTTTCGCCTGCATCTATGGCAAGCATCCTCAGAGGTAGTGAGGTCTGTTGGAACTAGGAAAATGGGTTTATATATCTGTGGAATGACCACAGTGAGAAAAAGGACTCTTGTCTGCTGGAGCTAGGTGTGAATGTTTCAACTGACCACCTTGATTAGCATATAATGGCCTGACAGTGCCTGGAGAAAGCTTTTGTTGAGAGGTGATTAGATGTCCTTGTTTGTTTCCTCTCTGTTGTTGTGCTGTTCTAATTTTAGAGCTTTTTAATACTGGTAGCCAGATTTTGTTCATTTTCATGGTTTCCTCCTTTCTGTTGAAATTGTCCACATGCTTGTGGATTTCAATGGCTTCTCTGTGTAGTCTGACATGGTGGTTTGGAGTGGTCCAGCATTTCTGTGTTCTCAAATAATATGCTGTGTCCAGGTTGGTTCATCAGGTGCTCTGCTATGGCTGACTTCTCTGGTTGAAGTAGTCTGCAGTGTCTTTCATGTTCCTTGATTCGTGTTTGGACAATGCTGTGTTCGTTGGTCCCTTTGTTGACAGCTGGAGTTCAGGAAACAAACAAGGACATTTAATCACCTCTCAACAAAAGTTTTCTCCAGGCACTGTCAGGCCATTATATGCTAATCAAGGTGGTCAGTTACATTCACACCTAGCTCCAGTAGACAAGAGTTCTTTGTCCCACCCTGGTCATTCCACAGATATATAAACCCTTTTTCCTACTTCCAACAGACCTCACTACCTCTGAGGATGCTTGCCATAGATGCAGGCGAAACGTCAGGAGAGAATGCCTCTAGACCATGGCCATATAGCCCGAAAAAACCTACAACAACCTATTCTCCTCCTCCTCACAATCTAAACATAGCAACAGTGAGTAGCCTCTGAGCAACAAATTCTACCCAAACCCAATTGATGAATATTTTAATTTGAAGAATTCTTAGTAGCATAAAGGAGAGGACTTTCCTGTTCCATCTTTCCCACCTCATTTCAACTATTACTACTACGAAAAGAAAAACGGAAGACATATGAAGGTGCCACCATCTGCTTACATTCTGTAAATTTCCATCTTCAAGGCAGGTTGATTGTATTATAATCACCATTGAAAACATCCGGGGAACTGGCAATTCTACATAGTTGGCTATTGACTGATATTGCTAGAACTCACATGAAAACGGGTGACTTTATCACACTAGGAAGGCAAACCAGCATTGCCTATCACATGACACCATGTGCATCACACTACTGGGTTGCCTCCCCTCGATTCTTCCATTCTTAACAATTGATGGGTAAAACTCATGAATAGCTGCCAATCTTTCAACATTCCTGTCACCTGCTTGGATGAAATGGACCCAATCCACTTCTCTGCTGGCATTGCAGCATATTTATTTATTTAGCAGTTTTGTATACTGGTCTTCTCACCTCCATCGAGGGACTCAGGCCGGTTTCCAACATCAATATTACAAACAATCATTAAAAACATCGTATTCCAAATTATAGTAAGACATTAAAAAGCAAAATACACTCATATAATTACAATGGTCAGTCGTCATCATAAAATCATTGTTCGTCGACATCCACCCATATCACAGGATCTTGACTCATTAGATTCTTCTCCCCTCCCCTCTATCTCCTCTCTATTCCCAACTTGGACTTTTCCCTTTTATTTCATATTTATCTTGACTTTTGCTTTGTTTATGATGCTGAAATGGTGCAATTGTGCTAAAACTAATAATACAATTAAAGCAACCACAGTCGTGCAGAAAGGAGGGGTACAACTGTGTACAGGAATATGACGACCGGATCACAGAATGGCAAATTAGCACAACTTGTCCTACTGAAGAGAGGAGGTGATATTGAAAGAGCTTGATGGGGAATGTATTTGTTATCTATTGGTAACAACATTGTGGGGAAAGAGTATGTTGGTGCGTTAACTGAAGTCAGGCTACAGTTAACAGAGAGAAACCATAATAATAATAATAATAATAATAATAATAATAATAATATAATAATAAACAGCAGAGGAGGGCCATGCCTCCAACACAAGATGGGTGCACACATTTGGGAAATAGAGACCATTTACTTATCCTTGTTTTCTGGCAAACCTCCCTACAATAATAATGATGATGATAATAATAATGATAATACTTTATTTGTAGACCACCCTATCTCCCCAAAGGGACTCAGAGCAATATGCAAACTCCCTTCCGACAAAGGGCCTTGCAAAGCGCGCCATACCCGTTATTACTACAACATCAAGAGCCA